TGAGCACAATATCGTCGGCGCGGGCATTGAGTGCCACCAAAACCGTCTGATTGTCGGGTCTCTGGACTGTGAGGACCGTAAAACTCGGCACCGATTTGTCGACTGTGTGTCCGATTCGTACCGATTCTGGAGGAATAAATTTGCTGAAGTGTCCGATCATGTAAAACGAGGGCTGTTTGTAGGCCTCCCCCTTAGCCGGGTCTATATTCAAAGTACCCCCGTAACCCTTTTTCTCATTCCACCTTGGTCCACCATTCATGTCCAGCGCTATATTCCAATCCACCCAACCCCTCACAAAATTATTCAGAGCCTATAAAGAAAGATAAAAATTAATGACAGGAATGGGAGTCCAGAATATTTTGAATTCTAATGAAAGTTATTGTAATTTATTCAAAGTCTACATAAATTTATATTGCCTTGCTACATAAATTATACCAAGTACACGCAAGCATACCCTAATGATATCGAAGGCATATTTTTCGCCGGCACTCCACTGCCCTAATACCACTCTCTCGAGATGACAGGCCTCGGAGTTCAGTAGAAACATATCGGTGTAGTTGTGCTGTATTTCCGATAGGAATCCATCGGGATAACCACCCATCTCTTTGTTGTTATACCAGTGATAGGCTATGCCGGACACGTATTTAGCCGCCTCCCTGTCCTCTAGTATAGGCGGTACGAACTTTTGGAAACCGTTGAGATTCTCGTCGAATACCATTAGATTGAGTTTGTCTTTGCCATACCCGGCCTTCGCGAGGGTCGGACCCAAATTGAGTTTCACGAAATCCCGTTCCGTAGGACCGGTTAAGTTCAGGCAGTTGAAGCTGTAGTTCGGGTCCTGACCTTCAATGGGCTCATTCTCGACTGTAACCCCCATAGGTTTATGTCATGGGATTTGTATGCGTCTAGAAATCTGTGGTAAACTCAAACTCAAGGGATAAGTGTTTTGATGTGTTTAATGCATAAATGAAATGCAAATTACTTCACGAAATAGTTGGCCCACGACTGGTAGTACTCGCCGCCGACAGTGCCCCTCAATTCCTCGCTATTACTGAACTTGTGGTTAGTCTTCATCCAAGAGGGGGGACTAAAGGGACTGCCGAAGAGTTTTATATTATGCGGACTTACTTTCAGCGCTCTTTGAATGTATTGGATCTACGGATCAGTTATTATGTATTAGTTTTGAATACAAAGTATTGTTAAATAAAATCTAATAGTTTTTGCATACTTTCCACTCCAAGTCCTCCTTTTGAAGGGCAAAGTGTTTGAGCTCCAGATCCCCGTCGACGTCATCGTAAGAGTAGGCTCTGTCCGAGTAGTCGGTGCCAGCGATCAGTATTCTGACCATTGAGTACTCGATGCCATTGTCCGAGAAGTAGCTATCAATTAGCAGATCAGCCAACGATTCGTTGACTGTCTTCAGCATCTATCCCGTTGTGTCAGTGAAAGCGCCGCCAAATCCGAAGATTGTCTGATATTTCTGTGTCTTATCTATAGTCACGACAACCGTTTGGTCGGCCGTTGAGTCGATGGTTGAGCCGAACTGGAGTTCCGTTTCCTTAAACCTATCGCCGGCTTTATTGCTCTCATAAACCGTTAGGAAACCACTCTTTGGACGCTTGAGGGCCGGGAAGTCATCACAATATGTTTGGTTACAGACACAGACTGTGTCCGCGTTTTCCACTTTCCTTACAATACATTTCCGTCGGGCGCCGACTGTTTGAATTTAAAATTAATGATAATTTCTCTCAAAATATAATTGAAATTAAAATTTTCTTAAAATACCGTTTATAGCAATAAAGGTTATAACGAGTAAAATACTAAATATTTTATACATAGTTTTTGCCAATACCTAACATACATTATATAAAAACACAAAATCCTTAAGTATTTATATGATTTTGTTTTATCAATTATTGATAACTGTATTTAAGACACAATTCTGTTAAGTATTTTCAAATCGACACATAATATTATTTTCAAATGTTTCAATAGATCTTATCAATTACCGTATTAAGCATGATCAAGTAGAAATGTAAATGATTGCTATTTTCAACCAGGTTCCAGGTATGTACATGGTTGATAAAACTATATTTTCAATCGTTTTAACGTTCTTAACAATGTAGAATAGTACTTGACTCAAGTACATTTTATTTGAAACCTTGAAAATAAATGTGCACCGATTAAATTTATTATAGTTTAACAATTAGTATTGATAATATTTGGTAAATAACTTTATTACTGACCATGGTCACGCTCCAGGTCGTGGCGTATATTCCTATAATCACTTTATGAGACAATAAATTAGATATTATTTTAGGAGGAAAGGGATGATAAGGCAGTTCAGTAAATATTACTTACTGATATTAGTAACTATTCCCTGTAATATTAGTAACAGTTTGTAAACATGGTAAATTTTTCATAAAATGGTTTTTTTTGTACAAAATAGCTTAAACTTTTTTTTGCTATTAATTTGTTAAATGTTTGCTTTTTATGTATTTACTTAACAAAATTATTTTATCTAATATTTAAATACAATTTTTTGAAACAATTTTTAATTAAATATTTTTTCACAGCAAGTATTGAGTAATTTATAAAATTATAGCAATTATTAAAAAGTTATTATAATTATTAAACTTTATTTGAATACAATTATTACAAATGTTCACCAAATATACGACTGAACAGAATGTGCGGCGATTTTATGGGAGACCTTACGAGTGGACTCTTGGATAGTGAGCACAATATCGTCGGCGCGGGCATTGAGTGCCACCAAAACCGTCTGATTGTCGGGTCTCTGGACTGTGAGGACCGTAAAACTCGGCACAGATTTGTCGACTGTGTGTCCTTGAGCACAATATCGTCGGCGCGGGCATTGAGTGCCACCAAAACCGTCTGATTGTCGGGTCTCTGGACTGTGAGGACCGTAAAACTCGGAACCGATTTGTCGACTGAGTGTCCGATTCGTACCGATTCCGGGGGAATAAATTTGCTGAAGTGTCCGATCGCGTAAAACGAGGGCTGTTTGTAGGCTTCTCCCTCAGCCGGGTCTATATTGACGGTACCCCCGAACCCCCATTTCGGATCGTTCCACCTTGGTCCACCATTCATGTCCAGCGCCATATTCCACTCAACCCAACCCCTAACGGAATTATTCAGAGCCTATAAACACAGAACAAAAATTAATGACACGAATGAGAGTCCAGAATATTCTGTACTCTAATAAAAAATTTTCAAATATTTTCAGAGAATATATAAATAATATATATCTGTATAAATAAAAATATAAATCGCCATGCTACATGTAATTATGTAAAGTATAAAACATAAGGAATACATAATTAGTAGCACAAAGCCTAATTACCTAGCTATTGAAATGGTACCAAGCACACACAAACATACCCTAATGATATCGAAGGCGTATTTTTCGCCGGCACTCCACTGCCCTAATACCGCTCCCTCGATATGACAGGCCTCGGTGTTCAGTAGAAACATATCGGTGTAGTTGTGCTGTATTTCCGATAGGAATCCATCGGGATAACCGCCCATCACTTGGTTGAAATACCAGTGATAGGCGATACCCGACACGTATTTCGCTGCCTCCCTGTCCGCTAGTATAGGCGGTACGAACTTCTGGAAACCGGTGAGATTATCGTCGAATACCATTAGATTGAGTTTGTCTTTGCCATACCCGGCCTTCGCGAGGGTCGGACCCAAATTGAGTTTCACGAAATCCCGTTCCGTAGGGCCGGTTAGGTTCAGGCTGTTGAATGGGTGCTTAGGGTTTTGTCCCCCTACCGGCTCATTCTCGACTGTAAGCCCCCATAGGTTTATGTCATGCGATTTGTATGCGTCCAGAAATCTGCGGTAAACGTGAGGTTTAAGTGTTTTGATGAGTTTAAAGCGTATATGAAATGCAAATTACTTCACGAAATAGTTGGCCCACGTATGACACGAATGAGAGTCGAGAATATTCTGTACTCTAATAAAAAATTTTCAAATATTTTCAGAGAATATATAAATAATATATATCTGTATAAATAAAAATATAAATCGCCATGCTACATGTAATTATTTAAAGTATAAAACATAAGGAATACATAATTAGTAGCACAAAGCCTAATTGTCTAGCTATTGAAATGTTACCAAGCACACACAAACATACCCTAATGATATCGAAGGCGTATTTTTCGCCGGCACTCCACTGCCCTAATACTGCTCCCTCGAGATGACAGGCCTCGGTGTTCAGTAGAAACATATCGGTGTAGTTGTGCTGTATTTCCGATAGGAATCCATCGGGATAACCACCCATCCCTTGGTTGCCATACCAGTGATAGGCGATGCCCGACACGTATTTCGCTGCCTCCCTGTCCGCTAGTATAGGCGGTACGAACTTCTGAAAACCGGGGAGATTCTCGTCGAATACCATTAGATTGAGTTTGTCTTTGCCATACCCGGCCTTCGCGAGGGTCGGACCCAAATTGAGTTTCACGAAATCCCGTTCCGTAGGGCCGGTTAGGTTCAGGCAGTTGAAGCCGTAGTTCGGGTCCTGGCCCTCGATGGGCTCATTCTCGACTGTAAGCCCCCATAGGTTTATGTCATGTGACTTGTATGCGTCTAGAAATCTGTGGTGAACTCAAGGGATAAGTGTTTTGATGTGTTTAATGCATATATGAAATGCAAATTACTTCACGAAATAGTTGGCCCACGACTGGTAGTACTCCCCGCCGACAGTGCCCCTCAATTCTCCACTATTACTAAACTTGTGGTTAGTCTTCATCCAAGAGGGGGGACTCCAGGGGCTGCCGAAGAGTTTTATTTTATGCGGACTTACTTTCAGTGCTCTTTGAATGTATGGGATCTACGGATCAGTTATTATGTATTAGTTTTGAATACACAGTACTGTTAAATAAAATCTAATATTTTTTGCATACTTTCCACTCCAAGTCCTCCTTTTGAAGGGCAAAGTGTTTGAGCTCCAGATCCCCGTCGACGTCATCGTAAGAGTAGGCTCTGTCCGAGTAGTCGGTGCCGGCCATCGGTATTCTGGCCATTGAGTACTCGATGCCATTGTCCGAGAAGTAGCTATCAATCAGCAGATCAGCCAACGATTGGTTGACTGTCTTCAGCATCTGTCCCGTGGTATCAGTGAAAGCGCCGCCAAATCCAAAGATTGTCTGATATTTCTGTGTCTTATCTATAGTCACGACAACCGTTTGGTCGGCCGTTGAGTCGATGGTTGAGCCGAACTGGAGTTCCGTTTCCTTAAACCTTTCTCCGGCTTTATTGCTCTCATAAACCGTTAGGAAACCACTCTTTGGGCGCTTGAGGGCCGGGAAGTCATCACAATATGTTTGGTTACAGACACAGACTGTGTCCGCGTTTTCCACTTTTCTTACGATACATTCCCGTCGGGCGCCGACTGTTTGTATTTAAAATTAATGATAATTTCTCCCAAAATATAATTGCAATTAAGATTTTTTATAATACCGTTTATAGCAAAAAAGGTTATAACGAGTAAAACACTAAATATGTTATACATTTTTGTTGCCAACACTAAACATAAGTATATAAAAAACAAAACTCTTTCCTATTTATATGATTAGGTTTTATCAATAACTGTATTTAAGACACAATTCTGTGAAGTAATTTCAACACTTAATATTATTTTCAAATCATTTAATAGTTTAATAGGTCTTATCAATTACTGTACAGTATTAAGCATTATAAAGCATTTTGAGGTTGTCTATGATTGCTAGCTGTATTTTAATCAGGTTCCCGGTAAGTGCATGCTTGATAAAACAATATTTTTAATCATTTTAACGTTTTTAATAATCTAGAATAGGAATTGACTTAAACCTTGACAATTAATGTGCACCTAATAAATACATTATAAATTATAATTTATAATATAACAATTTATATTTAAAATATTTGTTAAATTTATTATATTGATATTTTTTCGGTGAGTACATTTGATAAAATTATTATTTGCACACTAAAACATACTGTAGACCATGTACAATTATTAATAGATAATATACAGTAGTGTACACTTGTCAATAACTGTTATTTTCAACCAGGTTCCAGGTATATAAGTTACATGGTTGATAAAACTAAAACTATATTTTTAATCATTTTAACGTTCTTAACAATGTAGAATAGTATTTGACTCAAGTACATTTTTTGAAACCTTGACAATAAATGTGCATCGATTAAATTTATTATAATATAACAATTAATATTGATAATATTTGGTAAATAACTTTATTACTGACCATGGTCACGCTCCAGGTCGTGGCGTATATTCCTATAATCATAAATTGGGCTATTATTTTATCAGAAAAGGGATGATAAGGCAGTTCAATTATCATTATTAATATACCATAAAATAGTACTTATTGTAATTTACAATATACTGTAGTTAGCACGGTAACTATTCCCTGTAATATTAGTAACAGTTTGTAAACACAGTAAATCTTTCGCAAAATCGTTTTTTAGTACCAAAAACTTATTGTAAACCTTTATGTTAGTAATTTGTTTAATATTTATTTTTTATGTATTTACTTAACAAAATTATTTATCAATTATTTAAATACTATTTTTGGAATAATTTTCAATTAAATATTTTCTCACAGCAATTATTGAGTAATTTATAAAATTATAGCAATTATTAAAAAGTTATTATAATTAATAAACTTTATTTGAATACAATTATTACAAATGTTCACCAAATATACGACTGAAGAGAATGTGCGGGGATTTTATGGGAGACCTTACGACTGGATTCTTGGATAGTGAGCACAATATCGTCGGCGCGTGTATTGAGTGCCACCAAAACCGTCTGATTGTCGGGTCTCTGGACTGTGAGTACCGTAAAACTCGGCACCGATTTGTCGACTGTGTGTCCGATTCGTACCGATTCCGGGGGAATAAATTTGCTGAAGTGTCCGATCATGTAAAACGAGGGCTGTTTGTAGGCCTCCCCCTTAGCCGGGTCTATGTGGACGGCACCCCCGAACCCCCGGTGATCGTTCCACTTCGGTCCCCCATTCATGTCGAGCGCCATATTCCACTCAACCCAACCCCTAACATAATTATTCAGTGCCTATAAACACAAAACAAAAATTAATGACAAGAATGAGAGTCCAGAATATTCTGTACTCTAATGAAAATGTTTCAAATTTAATCAAAGCCTATATAAATAATACTTCTGTATAAGTCAAAGTATAAATCGCCAAGCTACATGTAATTATTAAAAATAAAGTATAAGGAATACATAATTAGTAGCACACAGCCTAATTGCCTAGCTACATAAATTGTACCTAGCACACACAAATATACCCTAATTATATCGAAGGCATATTGTTCACCGGCACTCCACTGCCCTAATACCGTTCCATCGAGATGACAGGCCTCGGTGTTCAGTAGAAACATATCGGTGTTGTTGTGCTGTATTTCCGACAGGAATCCATCGGGAAATCCACCCATCCATGTGTTGCCATACCAGTGATAGGCAATACCGGACTATAATGGCAAACTTGTAGCTACAAGTTAGGGAAAATTAAATGACCCAGTAATCCCTTAAATTAAGCATTCAAAAATAATAAGCATTGATAAACTGCCCCTTTAATATACATATAATGAGTGACTATATAAAATAATGACCTGATGAATTAACATTTTTTATGAAAAATGAATTTTTATCTAATTAAACAGGGTTTTTAATGAAACAGGTGTCCATATCATACGTTAGACTGATTTGTAAATAAAAACAAAAACTGTTCATATAATTAGTGTGACCAGGTCGGAAACTTGTAACACTTGAAAAATAACATAAAAATACTTGACCTTAATTTTTATTTAAGGTTTAATGACAATTAATTTAATATAAAAAAAATTATTCCCGTTTGAAAATTATGCTTAAATTTTACTTTTATAAACATTTATTATGTTATTTAGTTTAAGTTTTCAATATTAATTCGTAATATCAGTGAAAATGTCTTAACAAATAAAATTAAGATAATAGCCGAACGTTTTCGGTCAACACTGTGACCATCATCAGGGCTAAGATGTTATGAGATTGAGAATGAGTTTCACTAATGAATGTTATTGTTATTTGAAAACTCGTATTATGTTATTGAAGTAATATTTGTTATAAATTATTAATTTAGTTATTAAGAATTTGTAGTTTTGTGTTATCATTCAAGTATTCAAGTTAACATTTATCTCTATTATGTGAATTAATTTCCTGTTTTTCAAAACTTTTAACAAATAATTTATAAAATTTGGTCATATTATATCGATTTCGCAAATATTGATCTTATAATGTCAAGTATTTACCATTCCCTTGATCCTTGACTCGACCCTCAAATACTTTAAAGTCAAGGCAGAATACTTGACCCTGGTCACACTTCATATAATATTAATAAAAATTCGTTATTATTATATTGTCGTTATTTATATCTAATTTGTATTTTACAAAAAAATATATCAGTTAAAAATAAATTCAGAAAAGTTTTTTCCCTAAATAGCTACAAATTTCTGACTACAGTGACGGTCATAAGTATTGCATCACGCATGTTTTTGAGGCCAAATTAATCGGGAGACCAAAAAATTTACAATAATTAGTCATAACATAAGGTATCACCTCAAGAAAATATCCAGATCAGTTTTGGTCAGCATTGATTTACCCGTTTGGCCGCTGTGACCAAATGTAAAAAACGTTTTTTGAAAAGAGGGACAAAAGTATTGCATCGTAACGGTAAGTCGTATTTATCTGGCCAGGGGTTAACTCAGTTGTCACGGGAAGGTATAATTACATTTAAGTGACTCAACTAAAATATAAAAATAATTTACACCAGTTGAATCGGACATCGGGGTAGCCTTGGGACGGGTATTTGTGACCAATGTTCGGGAGCCCGGGAAAGTGGCCACTTAGACAATTCTACTTTCTAAACCGCCCGAAACTAATTTTAATAATACAGATTATGATCCTAATTGATAAAATTTATAAAATACTAACCGAAACAGTCAATAAACTGCTCCCGATTATTTCCGAACTTACTAAATTGTGGCCAGATTTTGATTGCCAATTTGGATTTTACAAAAATATATCGGAAAATATCCGCCAATGTATACCCTAAGATACGGGATTAACGAAATTTGAATAAAAAATTTATTTTATCGGTAAATTGACCAGTTTTTAACTTACATGTACATTT